ACAAGTGTCAAAATTTACGTCAATTCCATATAATTTGGTTTTCTATTCTACATGTAGACAAGCGCTAAATGGCATTTGGCTATAGCCTCAGGCGTTGCAAATTTTAGGGGTGTCACTAGCTTAATATAAATTACATTAGCTTAACATTTATTTTTTTTACATATTTATTAATTTGTTCGGAATATAGGCAAGTACTTGAGTATATAATATAGAGGTATTAGACCCACTAACGTCGAACCTTCAAGAAAAGAGCGTATTCATTTTTAGATTGCCGGCAACTCACTTGTTATACCTCTGGTGTTGCGGGTGTCCATGGGCGGCGCTTCTCAACAGGTGATCCGTCTGCTCGTTTACCAGTTTATCCCATAAAAAATGTCGTGGAGAACCTAACGGGTAACCGGGGCTCCGGCTCGACGTGCAGGAAAAGGAACGGGGTTATTTTTAGTCAGTAAGAGTCTGACACTCCCTCCCGCCTCACCCAGGCGGGAGCAGTCATTCGATGATTTTCCCCCCTTAAAAAAAACTCCCATAAAAAATACTTAAACGTTTGTATTTCAATTAAACTGCGAATCGTGGCCTGACATTATAGGTAGTGACAGTATAGTGTGCAAGTGAAAACATTGATTGACTTAGCACAGAGCATGGTACATGGAGTCAGCCCCATATACACTACCGGCTCTCCAGACAGACACTGCGGTTGGCCGGTTTACGGGCCACCTTTGCGGTCAATTGCTAGGGCGTAAGACAGTTGACTTTAGATCATGGTAGGTATTTATAGATTAGACCAGGGTGCTTACTTTTGAAACCAATCTCAATGTCAATGCAATTTTAATCTAATAAAATCTTAATATTCAATGACAAGCCTATACAACTACAATCGTAGCTGTTACAATAGCATTCAGAGTACGGAATATAAAGCCAAACTCAATACCGTTTAGTTCATTCAATATCCGCGCAATACGGATGCAATGGGCGCTAGTGTTGCAACTCAAGAGTACGAAATTTCACAATGTCAATGTCGATCGATCGGAATGGGATTCAAGAGTAAGTCTCCTGGGCTGTCCAAACTATACCTAAGAGCTGGAGAGCCAGAAAAATATTTTCAGTTGTATAATGATTCATTATTCTATGAATGACGTTTAACATTGTATTCTTTACTCATAGACTAAACTTGTGTACAAACCATACACTGAATTATTGTTGTTGCGCACAAGATGAAGATGTTGAGATTAAAAAAATGTGTGTCGCGGACCACATGAAAACAAACCGCGGGCTGCATATTATGGCCTTGGACAGTCCTGGATTAAACCATGGTAAATTGGTGAGCTGTATCTTCCTGGCTATTGTCCTCACCAAAGTCGCCAAAGACAGCAACTACAAGTACCTATTGTACATTTAACCTTTTGAGCGCCAGGGTCACAAATACGTGACAAGCGAAAACTGTCCCTGAGCGCCAACGACACAAATATGTGACAAAAACAGCGGTACATTAAAACACGAAATAAACTATTTAAACATTACTTTAATGCCTATTTATTTATATACCTGTAAAATAGAAGGTCCAAAATTTATTTATTTCCATAAAACTAATTAAATTGCATTATAAATATTGAGAAATTTTACGTTAAAAAGAAAGAAATAAACTCTGAAAAAAGAATGTCCTCACACGCCAGAGTCATAACTGCGTGACCGCTAGTGATGTAGCGCATGTTGGATAA